ACAGAAAGGTAATTTTACCTCCCATAACATTAAGTGCAGTGGGAAATAGTTTTCACTACACATCCTGCATTTGAGCACACACTATAAACTTCCAAAATTATGACCTATCAAGTTGCAGTTTAATTTTCTGTTTGAAACACCTTGAAATTTCATAGAATCATAGTCATAGAATGGTTTGGGTTGGAAGGGACCATCTAGTTCCAACCCCCATGCCATGGGCACGGAAACCTTCCACTAGACCAGTTTTCTAGGACTGCTGTTGTTTTGCATCCCATTCAGATGTATCCTGCTTTGAAGATATATGCATCAGGCTTCTTTTAGTGAAGATTCTGCATTTATACTTTTTGCCTTTACCTTTTTCATAGAAAAGATGCTCAGCCTCCGATGTGTGCTTGGAAAGCAATCTAAGGGGAGCACTCCAAAATATACAGCACTTAAGCAAAACCAGACCTCTAAGAGTTTCTGCCCTGGTGAACACAGACTTTTATGAGCACACATCCTTATGCAGTTGGGTAATCTTGCTGAGGTCAGCGAGACTTCTTATCCTTAAAGTTACCCTTACATACCTAGCTGGCTTGATCTGTGTTTCTAATACCTTAAGGCTTCTCTGGGCTTACCTTTGCTGAAGTATGTTGTAGCTTCAGTGCCACTCTTCAGTCAGATCTGCTTTCCCACTGTACACCTTCACTGCTGTGTTACCGTCTTTATCTTAATTTTAACCTGGCCAAACCTTAACCTGTAGCTCAAGGTAGAGCAACAGATCCATCGTGAAAGAAAATCTTGTATTCTGTGCATTTTCAGGGCTATGTTATAGTCTGAAGAGGCATTATTCTGAGTGTGGATAAATTCAAACTAAGTGAAAAACATATCCTCCAAGACAATTAGCAAATGGCATGTTGCTTTACATGCTATATGGTCGGAAATGAAAGTGTTGTTATTCTGTCCTGGGTTCAGCTTACAGGATTTCTTTCAGGTCTATTCGGGGTATAAATTCCTTTTTAAATGGAAGAATGAATCCCATTTACGTGGTGGGAGGGCCAGCTGGTGGGCAGAGGTGCTGGGCAGGGTGCTGTCTCAGCTGGCGGGGTAGAGGCGGGAGGGACCAGCCGAGAGCTGCTCCTGCTGCCTTCACGGAGGGAAGTAGAGGAGTGATGTGCTGTGATTCCTACAAAGCATTTTGTTTATTATACAGTCAAAATTTATGAGATCCTTACCCTATCAAGTGCTCCAAATAAATTTGTGACTTCAAATGAGTATTTTCTATGTAAATGGAAAACTGTATTAGTTTTAACCATTTAATTGTTGTGTCTGCATGTGGATATGGATAAGAAAGCTGTCAGCTGCTTTGTGGCACTCAGCCTAAAGCTCTGCTTTGGCTGTATCTTCTTACTGACCCCAGTTAAGGTGAAATCAGAAAAAACAGAGGCTAAATGGAGAGGTCAGTGGCAGGAGCCTTCTGTCAAAAGACACCGTTATTTTCTGTATCTGGGCTAATCAGAAAACTGTTAATCAGTGCATGTTTAGAATAAAAAGGATGTGGTTTTGCCTCACTGCAAAGATGCAGATCTTTCATTTCATTTCTCCCCAAAGCACTCTAAACCTCACATAAATCATCCTGAGTCAGCATTCAAGGCTCAGATAAAAAGAGATCCCTCTTTCTCTTTCTTCTCTGCCTCACACGCAGATGTACCTGCTGCGATGGGGCAGGGAGACCTGGGTGGGCAGCCCCTGCATCCCGAAGGAGCCCTTGGGTGGATGACGGTGGCGAGTTGGGGCCAGCCTCCGGCAGCTTTGCCCTGCCCCGTGGCCCCGGTGCACCGAGAGCCGGCAGCATCGCTTTGTTGTGATAACCCACGGGCTGTCCAGGCCCTCCTCTGGCTAGAAAAACATCATGAACTCGTGTCAGCATGTCTCCTGCCGCCACTGTAGTCTCTGCTGCCTCTTCTCCGAGGGATAAGCGCTATTAGCCAGAGCCTCAGGTTGGAGCCCTCCTTCTAGACCACAGGCTTCTGTTTCTCATTGAGCCAAATGGATATGAACGGGAACTAAATGCAAGAACATTCACCATAATCCCTGTAATTCATACCCCCCGTGACATCTGTTTTCCTTTGCTCCAGATAAAAGCCTAACGCTGTTCTCGTGGCAAGGTAAATTGGAGCCATCCCCCTGCATTCCCAGAGTGTCTCAGACCTGGGCTTTAGCTGAGATCGGAGAGGCAGTTATTCCAGGGAGGGTGGTTTAAAAATGCTCCGTCACACAAGAAGGTGGTGTTAACAGCCACGGTGGGGAGAAAAGAAAGAGGGAAGAAAAAAGGAAGACAATCAAACATCACAGAAAAAGGCACTACTTTAGTCATAGTTCAGCCATGCATGGGAGAGCTGGACAGAAGGAATTTCCAGTCTGCTCAGCCTCCTTGAAATGCTAGAACTAGACCATAGGCATGGCATGAAAGGAGATGTGATCATCAATGCAGGGCACAAAGTAAAAGAATTAGCAGCACTTGGCTGCATTACACAGGAGGTCAGATCTTATGCTTTTAAGTGCTGGTGGCGCTGAAAGTTGATGAGCAGCAAAGATAGAAAATAGATTGCTTTTACACTCAGACAAAATTTGAAAGGCTGCTCCTGTGAGACACCGCGACCAAAAACCTGAGAAGTATTTTTAAAAATATTTAATGCCTAAATCCTTTTGGTCTTAAGTGACATTAGGGATGTACTAAGTGCTCTTCACATCTAAGCAAGTAGAGGGCTTGTTTCCCAGGAGGGCCTAAGCCCATTGCAGGATCTCTCCCTGCATGTAACAAAATTTAATAGTCTGCCATCCTCTCTCACCTCCCTTCAGATATGCAGCTGCTCTCACCATTTGGTTGCCTTTCTCTAGGATTGCTGACAAGAGTCACCCTTAACATTGCAGTTCATTTGGATCTTCCCAAACTGTGTGTGTCCCCCCATTATTGTCACTTTTTAGCTATGGTAATGGGTCAGGTCTTGCTTTTCCTTTTATCAAGACCCGATTCTTCTCTTGATCAGGCAGTTTAATCTAGAGATTAACTGAAATGCATTCAAGGTACGTGAATGCTGACATTGACTTCCAGTGTCTGGTACCGCAGGTCTAAAATAACTCCTACTTGCTGGTATTTGTAAGGCTTTGTTTGTTCTGGCATGGGCTTTTTTGCTGGGCTGCAGTTCGAGTAGTAAATACAATTATGATGTGTGTCACAGGATGGGCAGTCCAGATCTCAGGCTGTTTGGTACACAGGGGCCTTGTAGAGCTCCCTGTCCATCCACCGTGGCTGTGCTCTCCTTTTCCTGCATAGAGTAATCTCAGATGCATTTGAATAAAAGCTCTGTCGACTAGGCTTTCCAGAGAGGCAGCAGGATTGACCATTCTCATCCATTTAGAGTTAGCATTTACAGGTTAATTGCAAGTTGCTAACTGCTGGTTTCTAGCATAAACTGCTGCACTCAGAAAACAATGGGATAAGATGTGATAGTTTGCAAAGTCAGCAGAGAAACAGACTCCCATGAATGAAACTAGACAATGCTTTGTTACTTGCAAATCCGAAAACTAGGCAATCAGTAGATAGTTTGGGGTTTTGGGGGTGTTTCTTGGCTTTCATTGAAGCTCCAAGTTGGCAGACATGTTGAAGCTATTTACATTCAAGTTTCAATAAATGTCATGCTGGAGGTTCCTCTAAATGATTTTATCTTGTTTTTAAAATAAAATCTTCATGATCATTCTGCATCCCTTCCCTGCTGGCATCAGTTTTCTTCTTGCAGCCAAGGGAGTCAGTTAATAGTTTCATTCAAACTTGCTGGCTCTGGCTTTTGTTTTCTGTTTCTCCCATCCCTTCTATTCCTTCTGTCTCTTAGGGGAGACGCTGCAGGAGTCAAAACTTTTTCTTAAAAAAAAACCCAGCCATTGGTCTTATTGTACTAAATCAAGCAAGAAAATGTAACCAGTCATTTTTCTTTTTTTGTGTGTGTCTGTTCTTTCTCCCAGCAAACCAGGTGCTCAACTTCCTTACCGCTGCCATCAGGCCAGTAACGTACTTTTTCTCCCTTGCTTTACCTTAGGCCCTGACTTGGCTACTCCCATGGCAGATGCTTTCCATACAGCATAGGCTTTATCAACTGTGTTAAATTTTCAGCTATTGCAGTGCTCCCATCCGCTGTGCTGGTGTTATAAAGCAGGGTGGGTGTGCATGAGCGCTGGTATTGAAGCAGACACAGTGACTAACCCTTCTGCCAGCCCATCGTTCTTGCTGCTTTCTTGCCCATCACCAGTGCTGCAGTAAGTGCGTAAGTGGGAAGTGTTTTAGAAGAATATTCTACTGAGCAAAGACAAGGCTAATGCAACTCTGGTGGTAACCACCAAGCTTGGGTGTACTTACTGCAGATGTTTTATCCTCTCTAGTGTTTTTACTGCTCTAGCCAGCCTACCGAGGTGCTATGCAAAGGACTAGGTGGTGGTATACTGCCACTCACCTCCAGCATAGTACAAGAACTTATGTATCAAAGTGCTTTTTGTGCTGTGATTAGAAGAAAACCTAAAGCACGCCTTCCCTGGAGGTGATCTATGCAGAGGCTGGCTAATGCTTGTCCTTAGGCTATAAGAGCCAGTACCAGTAGAGAGATAGGAAAGCAGAGCCAGAGCAGTTCCAACCCACCGCTCTGGTCCTTCACTGGCATACCTGTACACACCGAGACCTGAGCAAAGGGAAGCAGGCACAAGCTCTGGAAATTTTAGGGTACATATACCCTCTGGGAATCAAAAGTCAGGCACCAAAGACCACGTGAGAATCTGACTCCTGGTGAGCAGGTATAGCACATCGCAGTTACAGCTCACCCCGACTTCCATGGCCTTCCTGAGTTTTCGCTCCGTTTTCTCCTGTGTTTAAGAAGGCTGAATGTGTATAGTTCGCAAACATCCCTTCAGATGGAGCAGCAAGGAGAAGCAGTAGCTGCGCTAACATGAAATGGCACTTTCTGCACTTGCAGGTTCGCAGAGGCGGAGGCTTATCCCGGCTTTATCACTTGATACTGCTTCCCCAGCAAGGAAGCCTGCCAACAGCCCCGGGGTCCGCTGGGTGGATGGGCCCCTGCGAAGTGGGCAGCGGGGGCTGGGGGAGCCCTTTGAGATCAAAGTCTATGAGATAGATGATGTGGAGAGGCTTCAGCGGCGACGAGGCGGGGACAGCAAGGTGAGTGCAATCCCTGTAATCTGTCTCCCCTCTCCTGGCAGGTGTAAGAGGGGGGAATTCAGATTTTGCAGTCAGAAATGTGTATTATTGTATGTGGTTAATTCAGCAGGCAGCAAAACCTAATATCTCATTTAAGAGCAGTTATGACTCAAGTTATGCCTTCTTCCGTGGCAGATCACTGACATTGCTACCTTGCATTTTTGACCCTTGCTTATAGTTTTGGTGGTTCCTGTGCTCCAGCATCTTGTTGCATCTGTTTTTCAAGGCTGCGATGGTGTCTCAAGTGCTTTGATGGTATTGTTTTCAGGATAATGTCTTCTCTCTAACAAAGTTGTTCCTGCCAACCTCAGGCCTCCAAATTTACAAAGAGATCAGGGAATTGTAAAGGTCAGCTCTTGAGAGGTACGGTTGGGAAGATTATCTGAAGTTGGTGGAATAGCACTGATTTTAGAGTAGCCGTGAATATAGACTTTATTGTTATATTAAGGCACTTTTTCTTCCTACCCCCTGTCACTTGGTTAGGCTGTTTGTGAGGTTGTTCTCTGATAACGAATTTGTGTGGAGAAAAACATCACTTGTTGGCCCGGGGTTTCTACTGCATTTCACCCACAGAGTCGATTTGTCTACAGAGCAGAAGGCAGAATAGTGTTGAGACCTTCACACAGGCTTGGAGGAGGGTAGTTCTGGTGTTGGGAATGCTCCCAGGCTAGCGAGGGTAGCACAGCCCTCACCATGGGCTCACTGCCCGTCTCAGTGGCTGCCCTCCCCAGGAGTCATGCGAGGCCAGCCTGGGTGTCTCCAGACAGCACTGAACCCTGTGCTGTTACTGTGCCCCATATCTTGACAGGAAATATATCTTCTTTATTAATGATTGTGAATTGCTAGAGCTTTTAATAACATATTCCCTTTGTTTCAGGATGTTTTAACTTTGATATTGCTACCAGTCCTCTTATTTTAGACTATGACTACTGCATTTCTTTTGCGCCAAGCACAGAGATGTATGTTGGATTTTAATACAGCAAGCAATGGATTTCCTTCTCCCAAGAGCTCAGATTTGCTTAGCTAAACTTGTGGTGACAAAAAACAGAAATGTTTTGCTACAGTTAATCTGATTTCAAGATGCCGCCTGTTATTAATTATTATGGTTTATTATTAACTATCATTGCAAAGTCTCCAAAGCTCACTGATGGAAAACATCAAAACCAAACAAAAGCAATAAAAATAAACCAGATGATGGATGATTTCATGCGGTGATTCATATGGTCCCAGTGTAAATGGTTCATTGTCAGTATTATTGATTGGAAGATCATTTAACTGAATGGATCTGCGTATTTCTTCTCCTCTCCACCTATTCCTTCCCTGCTCCTTTTTCCTGATTGGCAGGAGGTGATATGTTTCAATGCCAAACTGAAAATCCTGGAGCATCGCCAGCAGAGAATTGCTGAGGTCAAGGCCAAGTACGAGTGGTTAATGAGAGAACTGGAGGTGACCAAACAGTATCTGATGCTGGATCCCAATAAGTGGCTCAGTGAATGTAAGGACATTGTTTTATTGCCTGGACTCATAGGTGTCCTTTGGTTTATTTAATGGGGGGGACTGAGGGGAGCAGAATTGTTCGCTAAGAATGCAGTGTGAGCTACTGTTTGTAAGCTAAAATGAACCAGCGTATGACCTAGGGGCAAATTTTAGATTGACGGTATTTCTAGAACTATTCTCTATAATTCTTATTAAATGTTGACAGTAGAACTGAACAATCCTTTTTGCCTGAGAGCTGAATGTTGAAATGGTACAGCACTGTAGTGGTGAATATTGCCATTGGTAGATTAACGTTCCCGCGTTTCAGTCCACAGCTCCTGAAAATGAGATTTTTTTTTTTTTTTTTTTTTTTTGGCCTCAGATCACTCAGACACATGAGAAATATTATAAATCTGTTCTTCTAACACAAAATAACACTGTGGAGTAAACCTGTACCTTGGCACCAGTGGGCTTACATAAAAAATTAATTTGGCCCTTTTTTTATAACTATAGATGTATAAAGTTCAGAGAGCTTAAAGGGCATTCACATTCAAATGAAGAAGGACCTCAACACCTCAAAGGAAAAAAGATAAAGGGTACTGCAGTAATTGTACAACAATTTTTAGTATTATCAAGCAGACAAGTTCATAACAAAGAGTTCTAGGAAAAGAAATAATTTTCGATTTGTGTAGGATAATTGCAGATGGCAAAAGGAGGTCGGCTGGTGTGTTCGCTTAAAGCATCCTAACTCTCCCTTTGACAGCTGACATAAGTTAACCCTAGATTGGTACATCCTGCAAAACAACCACAGTGCATGTTTCAGGAACGCTATTAAGGAGGAGAGGTAAAAAAGACAGATTTAAAGGGGGCAGAGAGTTTGTCATACATTGCTGTCTGCTTACTGTGTGATGCCTTTGCTTCAGATTTCAGTGTGATAAATGCAGAAGGCCTCAAGGATGGCACAGACCTCAGGGACCAGAGAAGGAGTCCCTGACAGCAGACGGGCACCTATGTTGGATTGATTGATGTGTGTGCCTTCCCTTGACCCTCTTCAGTGGTCTAGTGAGAATCACGTATAATAGGTAGAGGTGTGAGGAGCTTGGGTGTTAATTTCAAACTCCAAGTTCTGAGTTCAGCAGAGGACTTGTCCTCCCAGGGCAGAGCACCTATTTAAACCTCTTTCTGGTCAGCAGAATGTGTGAAAGAGTCAGTACATACTTAGCATTCAATATTTGCTAAAGGGTGTTGGAGTGTGGCAAAAGGCTTCTGCAGTTCTGAAAAGGATGGCAGAGCGTATCGCTCAAGAAAGCATTAAATGCAATTTTAACAGTATTTTTCACTATCAGCAAGCTGCTATGCTGTTTTAATAGCCATTAAACAGAAAAGGCAACTTCTAATGGCAATGTCAAGCCAGAGATAATGTATACGGTACTGATGGGTTTGAAGACTTGAATTAGCTGTCTCACACTGACCAGCACTGGGTTTTGTCTGCTTTTCCTATCTCTGTTTTCTTTCCCACAGTTGTTCTGGAGCAGGTATTTGAGCTGGATTCTCTGGAATATCTGGAGGCCCTGGAATGTGTGACTGAGCGTTTGGAAAACCGTGTCAACTTCTGCAAGGCCCATCTCATGATGATCACCTGTTTTGACATCACCTCTAGACGCAGATAAAGTATGAACCTCAAGAGAATTTCAATGCGCATCTCTGCCATCCTCCTTTTCCCTTCTGAATAGCATCCCAAAGACAACAGAATGAGGATGAAGGTTGGAGTCAAGTCTCACTGTGTGTATGAGAGATTTGCTATACTATACAGAAGAGTGCTATTAAAAAAAAAAAAAAAAAAACAGGACAAGCATTAAAAATGGAGATATAAGGTTGTTGATTCTCTTAGCCTAAAAGAGCACTTTGAGGAACCTTTTAAGGACATGTCTGTAAATAAGAACTGCTGGCAGAAGACACTTCTTTCCCTGCGATAGCTGAGGGAGGAGGAAAGGTGGTTGTAGGACTTCCATTGAGAGGTTCATTAAAAGAAAACCTATCCAGAAAAACTGTTCAAGTGCCTTGCAAATCTTTATTATCCAAACATTTATGTTGATACTTTATTGTGTACAGATGGTGCTAGTCAAGAAAAGAAAAAGGAAAAAAACAAACACACTTTTGAAATGTATTTACAGCTTGTTTTTCTCTTGGTGTTTTCTCCTATTTCAGACTTGCTGTTTCTAAGTAACTTGTGTTTGTAGAGATATTTCCTAATCAGTACAACATATGAATAAATGTTAACTGTCTTTTCTTGTTACCAGAGTAAGGCCACTCAAAGAGAAATTCAGTTTTCCCAGATGACAAAAAATATTTCTAGCAGTGAGTAAGGTTTGCTTATACATTCTTCTGTACTATCTTATATGCTGGAGGACACAGTAATTTTCACAGCCCATAGGTTCTGCAGTGGATGAGAGAGGAGAGTTGACCTTGCCATGAAGTAAATATCTTTTCCATTTGATCCAACCCCCATAACTTGGTGGTTTTTTTTTTTTTTGGTTGGTTGGTTGGTTGGTTGGGTTTTTTTGTTTTGTTTTGTTGTTTTTTTTCTTTCTTTTTTTTTTTTTTTTTCATGTATTTTTAGCTTTGTATTGGCTGGAGTTACGGATGAAGAGGCATCTTTATTCTAACTCCTTTTTCTGGTGCTTATAACTTGATGGAAAATTACTTTTTAGGCTGAGGTCCCCCATACTTATCAGCCCCAAAATGAGTGATTTATTCTGTCTGTCTTTCTTGAGACTATGACTGATAAAATTTAGCTCTACCTCTTTTTGACATACACCACTGCAAAACATGTTTTGGCAGCTTTTGGTCCCTGGCCCAGACTGCCCATAGTGACAGACATACCTGAGAAGTGCAGGCTCTGCTCAGCTCAGTGCTTCTGGAAATAAACGGGAGTCATGAGTGAGTGGATATAGCATCTCAGGCATGTTGGCTGTGGCATTTTCCTTTTCAACCCTCCAGTATGAAGCCATGGCAAAATTCACGTTGACATCAAAAGGACAAGGGTCTGTGCCTCAATGCACATTCAAATGTTCTGCTTGTTTGCTTCTTTATCTACAAAATAGTATGTCGGAAGGAACATCCTTTGTGTTTCTTAAAGAAATGTGCAAAATCTGCATTTTAATTACATATGAGCGTGAAGAATTATTGTGTTGAATTAGGTTTCTTCTTCTTCTTCTATACTGAAATAATCCCGTTCACAAAAATTCCTCTCTGACATACACTTGTGCTACCCTTCTGTTGCCTATGAGAAAATAAGAGCATCATTTAACATACACTTAATATGCATCAATTTACTACTGTACTTAAATGCAACTCTTCTTTTATCTGCACCATCATATTAATGCCATCTTACAATATCCCAGCAGCCAGTCCCAATGGAAAAATAACCCTGCAAAAATGCTGATAGATTTTCTACTAGTTAGCTTAAAAAAAAAGCTTTGTTTTTTGTTTTGGTTTTGGTTTTGGTTTTGTTTTTTTTTTTAAAGATAGAAATGACATTCATATAGTTTTGGGTTTTTTTTTTTTTAATACTCCACAACTTGTAATAACAAATCTTACTCATTCTATTAGCCTTGTCACCGGATTTTGTAGAAGATCCTTCTTACATTCTATAGGATTATTTGGAGGGAAAAAGATCCTGTATGAAAGTCACTTTCTAGTCTGTTCCACAGCATTTTCCTATCATGAGACTCATATTCCAAGTAAGTATTAAAGACGTAGGTCTGATCCCTCTCCCCTTCTCTCTCAAGGTAAAAAAACTGAAGAAAACCCCCCAAGCAATGCCATTTTTATCTAGGTTTGTTTCTCTCCGTAGTGATTTCAGTAGCACTTGTTGCATATTGGTTCTGTTGAGGCCATCTCTTCTCTGCAGAGCCCCGTGAACTCAGTGCGGCTCCACAGAGCCGTGGGCATCGCCCCTGCAGTTCTGTGCTGGGTGAAGACCAGTGCCCTTGGGGTATGGAGTGCGTCTCTCCTGATGGCCTCAGTCCCGCGGAGACACGCCGCCAGGCCACACACACGCAGAGGAGGGACTTGGACAGCCAGCTCCTGTCCCTCCCTGGCCCGAGTCCCCAGGTAGGACCACACCGCCATCACCCGTGGCACTGCACTAAGCCTGTCTCCCAGGCCGTGCCCCCTCCATGTTCAAGGAAGAGCATCCTCCCCCCCACACCCCCCGCCAAGTTGTGCACGTGAAGTTAAATGTCGCCTTCTTTAAGCTTAAGCATTTCGGACAACGTGAATGCTGGAAGGTGGTCACTGGGTGGTTGGGATGCGTTGCCCTTCCTCTGCTGAAAATGAGCAGCGCAAAACGGGCATGTTGGGCTCTCTGGGGGCCTGCTCTCTGATGGTCGGTGGCAAGTGGTACAGTAAAAGTAAACACATACTTGACAGAAAGCAAGTGAAATCCTAGCAAATGGTGCATGCACAGAAAGCATTATTAACAAGAGATGTCCTCCCACGTACTCCAGGACTTACACAGAAGCGGTGATATTTCTGTAAATCAAGTGGACACATTTCAGAGCTCTTCTAAAATATCTATTGCATGTAATATTCCTCAGCATCATTAACTCAATTATTCAGTGTCTCTAGATATGGTACCTCTGTAGATTAGGAAGCAGCCCAAAAAGCATGTCTATCTAGCCATTATTTTAAACAATAAGAGCATATGTTTGCCCTGTTTATCATGATGACAAAAAACGATTACTGAAACCAAACTGACTGTGCCAAGGATTAATTTGGCATACTGAAAATTATGTACTGACTGAGTAGAATCACAGTCCTTATAAATATTTAATTTCTGAGGACTTAATTAGAGTAACCATTAACACTCTCATCTTATACGAATATTCATATCCTAAAATCCACACTCACCTTCTCTTTTTAGGCTTTCTGTCAGTGCATTTCAGAATTTGCCACTATATTTTTAGGAATTTTGGTGGCTTAATGCATAAAATGGAGTGAAAATTTGTGGGGATTTGACATCTATGAAATGTTTTCTTGTCTTAACATAGCAGCTATCACCTGTGGCGTGGAATTCAAATTTTATGATAACTGAAGGAATATCTTTTACAAACATCGCCTTTTACAAATGTTTATGCTTTTGTTGCATCTTTTTTTTCTGAGCTAAAATTAATTGTAAAAATAAAGTGTACCTACATATAGACAAATGTATAGGTACACAGCCTGAGACAGTGTCGTCGTCCCCCCATTATTGTTTACAAATGGCAACAACAATCCCTCCTCCTTCCTCCTCCAAGGAGGACCTATAAAACCTTTCTCCTTGCACCCACCAGGATGAAGCTGATTTATGCCACACTATAGGGAAAAATTTTGCTTGAAACGGTTTTGAAGATTTAAAGGTCCTTTCCTCCTCATGTTCATCGGCCAACAAAGCCAAATTGCTGCCATTCCCATACAGAGGCTGTCATTGAAATGTTAAAGCCTGTAAAAGTAATCCAAATGAACTACTCTATATTTCAGGGTGTCATGGATTCAAGGCAACATATTTTACAATCACAACTGTTAAATAAACCAATTTCTGCATATGCGTGAGGCATACATGATAGTTACATCGATTGAAAGCCTGGACTCTGAGCTGTCTATGAGATAAAGCTTTCTGTCTAGTCCTAATAGCTTTAAAATTGTAACTTGAAGCTTCTGCGTTGAAGAAGCAAATAAAATTCTCATAAACCAGAGGTTGAACGACCCTCTGATGCCAGTTCATGTGGGAGGGATGGTTGCACAGCATCAGGGATGCAGCAGCTCACTGCAGAGATCAAAGCATTCGTATCACTAAATACTGATAGGAGCTGATGACGACCGTACAGAGAGACGCTATTTCTCAAATCCACTGGTGGGTGACATACCTTCCTTAATCCTGATGTCCTCATGGTCTTTGTTTTGTTACTCCACAGGCTTTTGCATTGGTAGCACCCAGCAGTTGTTGGAGACACAAGGCTGGCTGTTGCCAGCTATCGCAAGATTTGACAGAGGTGTCCAAATAGTCATGGCAAACAAAACTGTGAATGATTTGTCAGTGCAAAGTTAATAATCTCTATCTCTTGCATTTATTGTGCGCTCATCCCAGGGTTATCTGAGCTTCCATAGCTGCTCTTGGAAATAATAAACCATTTTATTATTGTCTTTATCTTTTCTTCTTTCTCCTTCTCAAGCAAGCTTTCAAAAAAAAAAAAAAAAAGATCAGAAAGATCAGTTTCTCTTGAAAATGTAGCACCCTTATCCTAACCCCATTGAAGTCAATATGGATTTTGCCACCAGCTTCATGGACAGCAGACTCTTGCTCACTTATGCAATGTTTTGAAGCTCACAAAGGGCATGATGATTCTGCAAAGAACGGAGGTGCTGAAAGTGAAATGGTAGCATTCATCTATAATATTTCAAACCACCTTAAAAGCCCTCCTGGACAGGAAATAAAACACAACACAACCCATCTTACTTTGAGTGGTCCTACTTAAGTATTGAGCAAACTTTATAATAATGGTAATAAATTGGTGCTTGAGGCAGTTTCAGCTATATTACATATTCTCTATATACTCTAGATATGGATGTATTCACCCTCTATATTGTATATGTATGTGTGTGAGTATTTACATATAGCACACATACATATATGTTTTATGTATGCATAGATACTAACTTTTCTAAGTTTTACTTCTTTTCCTCCCATAGCTGAAACTGCTGGTTACTAACATCCACATGATATTCTATGTATGAAGGATATAATTTATTTGTAAACTCAGGATGTTCTTGTTTTATAGAGTTGTTTGTATTTTATAATTTATTTACACATCATGGTTGGAAATGCTTATCTAAGTGCTATGCATTGAAGTGTATGATCGCTAAATCCATTTCACTCTGTTGGTGGCTATGTTCTTTCTCATTATAACAGTGGTATAAAATAGGGCTAAGGAGGAGACAAACTGATGGATATAGAACTTATGCTGAGCCCACCAATGGGTAATTCCAGAAGAGGATGTATCAGTAGTAGATATATATATTTTATCAACTAAATTTTATGGAGAAAAAAAAAAAAAAAAAGAGGAACAGCATGAGGACAAGTTCAAAATGTGGAAAGTCACAGCCATTTCCAAGTTGGTCAACAAATGCATTGAACCTTTTGCCATTAAAATTGTAAAGTTTATTGTTTGCTAGCTAAAAAATATCCCTTTTGTGGTATCTGAGGTGTGAAACATTGTCAAAAATATGATGTCTGGAAAAAAAAAAATTCAAACTATAGTGGCATTAAATGTTTACTTTTATCTTACCAATATATCTGCCTCCTCCTCCTGACTATTTCACTTTGGATGAGAGCATTTATGAAATGGCAGAGAAGAAGGTGCTTTTGATGCACAGGAGGATGTGCTATTATAATAGAGTGAGCAACATCAAAACTGAAAATAAAACAACCAAAAGGGTTCTACCAAGCAAGTATTGCTGAGAAGCAAATTCACCAGAAAACAATAAGGAGTTGTTTGATAGCAATGACAGAAATATTACGACCAAGCACAGCACCATTAACTTCTCCCCTGCCGCTGTCCAGAAACAGAAAACAAACACAGTCACGGAGCCTGAATTGGTCAGAGTTTTACATAAACTGGTGATGCATACATGCCTCCCTGTATTAGCAGGGGTTGCTCCATCTGCACCTGTGAGAAGGGAAAAATCCGGGACCAAACAAATGATAAAAATGTATTCATAGGTATAATTTTTTGTCATCTGTATCAATAGTGTCAGATTTCCCTTAGACACCAGGCAGGTATATAACACAATGTAAGAGTCATAAAAAGAGTTTGTGTCCATTACTCAAGACATGCTTCTCTGTCTAAGGGGCAATGGTGGCAGGTTCAGCTGACCCCTGAGCTTCTGCTAAGGTGTGCACGATAGCTGCTTGCCTTTTGCTCACATTTGTGGTGTTCCCTGTTGATAATTAAGAGTGCCTCACTTGCAGGGCAAGATGTGAATTAGCTCTCTGGGCAAATCTCAAATGCCCCTTGACCCTTGGGTGAGCCCCAATAAGGATATTGTGCTCTTCCCATTGTAAGAAAAACAGTCTTATTTCTTGTGGAAAAGAGAAAAAAGGAAACAATTTAAAATGTCCTTGAAGACATGTCATATGCTGGCAGATGCCCTCATATGCCCTACTTAGGAGAGGCGTATTAGTATGCTGGGTGTCTAAATATTTGGTTGAGTTTGGTGTGCATTTAAAATAGTCATTTCTTCTTCTTATCATACCAACTGGGTGGCAGAGCCAGCAGTCAACAGTGGCAGGGGGTGCGGTCCTCTACAATGCCCAGCTCTTCCAAATGAAAAATATTGAGGTAGCTGCAGAGGCAAAGGCTGGCACATAATGAGATGGTGTGTTGGAAGGGGTGAGGGAGTTTCTTGTTTCTCCTCTCCCAGCAGCAAACCCTACCCTAGCTGTTGCCCCTGGGCCCGTGAATTTGCATGCTGGTGCCTCTTCACAGTAGCTGTAAATGAAGATGAACAGCCATTTATTTCGTCTCTGGGCTGTTCAGAATAGCTCTGTTTTGCTCTAAAGAGCTAAAAGGCTTATTGCCTATTTTTCAAGTAATTTATCTTCATTGCTGTTATCATGCAGCCACATCAGTATTAAAGAGTCCGAAGTGCCTTACAGTGACAAAAACAGAGAAAAATGGGTTAGCACAAGTCCTAGACTTTGTCTAAGGCAGAACTGATGGTGGGGATCTCTGTATGAGTTGAAAACAAAATCAATTCACTCTTAGTCAGTTCTGAAGCCTTTCAGATCTCAATGTTACACACCTCTGGTTTGGGGCAAGACTGCCAGGAAAGGTTTCGGACATGTAGCGAGATCAGAGGCTGGTGTCCTTAAGAGGCCTGCTTCAAACTGTTGGCACTTCTTGTAAACTAATGCCCTAGCCATGACCAAATCTTAACTTGTCTTTAAAAACAATAACTTGCCAGACTAAAAATCAGGAGACGGTTTGGCGTGGAAACCTGACAGGTCCCATCTCCTTATTGGGTCCTGAACAAGCTCCCCAACTAATAAAAAACTGGGAGAAGAAGAAGTAGTTGCTAAAGCTGGTTCCTCTCCCACATCTGCCCACAAGCCATTGGGGCTCCTGGGACCTCACCTTCATTTTGACTGGCAGCAGTAGCTGCCTGAAAGCTGCTGAGGAGGGAAAAATTCAGCTCCAAGTCTCTCAGATGAAGACAAAATTAATGTTTAGTACCTCCAGAAAAAGGCCATCTGTGAGTGGATTTCACGTTTTATGATATTTGTTAGTATTCTTGATAGCTGCCAATCTGGCAGATTTGGAGGCTGACATCTGTTATCTAACCACTGAGCAATGCTATACTTGCTGTGACCACATGAATGCTCTACATTGCTCAAAGACCTCTTCCATAACCTCCAAAAATAACTAGGTGGCTTGGAGGTCCTATCCACTCTCCCTTCAAGAACAACCCTGTCAAACACTGACCCAGGAAAAGCTCTAAGATGGCCAAAAATGGTCCATCCCCAATAGATGCTTGTCTCGGGAAAAGACCATTAATTTTCATACATGTTTATGTGTGTCTCTTGTGTGGACGCTTATTACACAGGTTTGGCACCCATGGTTTGCATCAGATTGCGGGTTTCATGCCAACCAACTGGCAGCCAAGCGTATGCAGCTGTGTGAGTTTGGTGCACATCCATATTTCCATTTCTACCTCCTGCACCAAGTGCATTCACCTGAGTGCAGCCAGACACGTGGGCACAGTGTGTGGGACTTGGGGCTCGCTGTGGAGAGGAAGCCTCCCACCCCCAGCAATGGAGGAGCTTTGTCACTCGCTGTAAAAGGAGCAAGGACTGTCCTCGTCTCTGTCTCATCCCTGCTCAGCTTCATTCTCTGAACAATGAGAAAGCAGGGAGATGGAAGTAAAGCTGACATTTTCCTATAGTTTGTGAAAAGAAGGATTGCTCACTGTATTTACAATAAGGCGGGGGGCGGGGGGGAGCACACAAGCCCCCCCTACTCGCTGGGCTGTGCTCTGCAGACTCCTCCGCACCGGTGCCGTTGGCTGCTCTGTGCTGCTCAGCACGGGCCCTTGCAAACTGCCCCGTGGAGCTTGCTGGAAACAAGTGGCACTGCAGGAGTAGCAGTGCTTTTACCCGCCTTGTCTTTCAGTGCCTGTCCATGCATAGTGGCCCAGCTCGCTCCCATCTCTGTGCTTCAGCTGGATGCCCAGCGACGCAACTTTGAAGAGAGTCATGGCAGCCGTGGGAAGATACACAGCCCTGCTTTTACGGAAGAGCAAGCTGCCTGCTCCTAAACCATATTTGATGGAAACTTCACAATACCCAGCAAGTGGCACCACAGGAGCCAGGCAAGACAATGAAAACATAATTTTTTCTTAATTTCCAAGGACAATGGAAGGCACGGGCAATTACAGGAGTAATGAGAAAGATAACAGTTTGGCTCCAGGCCCTGTGGCTGGTGATTTGTGCTGCCCCCAGGGGCTGGTGTAGCTGGAACTCATGCCCGCCCTGAGTTTCCAGAGGCTCAAAGAACATTTCTGAAGGTTATATGTAAAGCCATTAAGATGCTGTGAAATCCACAGAAAGGCTTCTGGACAGCTTCTAAGCCTCAGCATTGCAGACTTCACATCCGTTGGACTCTATTCTTTCCGCTGGCAAGGCTGAAACAATGGGAGCACCAAGCCTAGTCTGTTTGACAATTAGCATTGCAGTGGCATGAAGTGGTCTGCAGAGTAGGTCAGTCATAAGAACAAACACTATGTGCATACTAAATAAACCCTTAGCTTAGCAAGAGGGCCTCACACCTGAAATCCTCGATGGGGATGCAGTTGGTGTGAGAGTACTGGGACATTGAAATACTTCCACAGTGAAAATATTGTTCTGGGACTGATTTCTCAACCTGGTAACATCGCCTCAGCACTCATGACTCATTCTATGAAATATTTATTTATTGCCCCTCTGAACAATTCCTGGCTTGCTTTTATGACCTGTTAATAGTTTTCTTTCCAAATTTTTCCATGTTTTTGCAACATACGCTGGACCAAGAGACAGATTTCCCAGCTTTCCGTGGCAGGTTAGTGCGGACATCAAAGTTGAGGCATGTGAGCCTCCCTAGGAGTCCATTGCAAAGCTATCCCTAATTTCTTATTATGGTGCTTTTAGGCTGGCCATTTTCACCACTGTAGATTGCACAGACACTGGGGCCGTGGTGCTGACTGTGCACAGCCCCCACGACATGTCCCAGTGCAATGTGGTTACAGCCTTGTTCTCCAGTCTGTAACTGGGGCCAGTGCTACGGGAGTGGGGACAAGGCAGTGCTGCACTGCAGGGAGGTAGGGCTGAGGGGAGACAAAGGGGATGGCAGAACCAGTCCAGGTTCATGGAGGCAGGTGGATATTCATAAACTTGTCAGAAATTTGAGAACAGAGCAATAGCAGGTGAGTTGCAGAGGGGCTGAACGTGGTGGTGCCTCCTTACCCCTACAAAGGCATGGGACAGGTAGAGGCACCACCCAGCCAGAGACCTGTGGCAGAGTCACTGCCTTGTTTTGAGCTTCATTTTGTTGTCACACTGGAAGCAGAAAACCCACTGGGGATAGGGAAAAAAAACAAAACAAAACAAAACAAAAAAAACAACCAACCAACCAAAAAAAAAAAAAAAACCACGAAACCAAAACACCAAGCAACCCAAACCCCTATAATCTAATAGTTATGTCAAAACTTGCTATGAAGGTTTGGGATGGTTTTTACCATCCTCAAACAGGAACTTTGACTAAAATCGACCCTCATTCTAAGCCATTTTGACCTCTTCATAAACTAGCACCATAAAGTGTGGAGGCTGTTATACTGCCTTATCTTGCTGGGATTGTAAACCTTTGTGCTTTAAATTCCCTCTATAGCCCTAGAAATTCTTCCCATGCAAGACAGAGTAGAACTTTCTTTTTTTTTTTTTTTAAAGCATACAGTGAGGTAATTTGTAATCAAACCCAAAATAATCAAAGCATTTCAGATGGGAAAGCTGTAAACTCATTTCTCTAAGAAATCATACACCCGACCACATCCTAGACACTTTGCTTGGTTGCAAGGCCAGGCCAGCTGACAAGGAGCTCACCCACTTGCTGTCAGCCACTTCATGAAGTGAGCTTTTGCTGTGAGAAAGTTCATATGGTGCCTGAGGTGTATGTCAGGGCTGGGTGAAGGCTGGCACAGGGCCACTGGTGTCAAACCTGGCCTTCTTTGCCAGCCTCGGGAAATTCAGGGTTTCCACCATTT